GCTTAACCAAAACCCAAGTTTTGTTCTTTTTTAGAGAGCTCATCTCGTCCTTCATTGCATGCTCCCACTGGAGAGAATCTTTCATCTTGACTGCCTCGGAGTAACTTTCTGGCTCATCATTTTCTGTCAAGAGAATATAATTAACTGAAGGAGTATACCTATCTGGCTTCTTTGTAACTCTGGTGGACCTCCTGACCCACTGATCAGTGTGGTCAAATGGGGATTGTTCATCTTCAGACTCCGAACTCCCACTTTCAGAAGCTACCTCTGACTCATCATTTCCACCGACTTCAAACTCTGGAACTGTGTCGACAATTGTTTCGGTTTCTTGTTCGGAAACCGGTTCAGGAACCAGTTTAGCTCCCTGCTTTTCTGCTCCTGTGTCAAACTCAACTTGCTGTTTTTGAACCTTAGAGTTTGATTCCTTTCTGTCTTTGTACAATTCAGCCTCATTGAACGTCGCATGTTTACTTCTGACTACCTTTTTGCTTTCAAAATCTCAAAGCCGGTAGCCCATCTTGTCTGATCCATAGCCAATAAAGGTGTACTTCTTGGCCTTTGCATCTAGCTTATCACCATCTTGATTCAAATCATAAGCACTGCACCCGAAAACCTTTAGGTGCTTATAATCAACAGCTTTACCCTTCCATTCTTCTTGAGGTACTTTGAAACCCAACGGAACCGAAAGCGATCGGTTGATTAGGTAAGTAGTAGTGTTAATTGCGTCTGCCCAAAACATCTTCGGGAGCCCTGCATTTATTCTCATACTTCTGGCTCTCGTTTAGAGAGCTATTCATCCTTTCTGCGACTCCATTTTGTTGAGGAGTGCGTGGAACAGTCTTTATCATTCGAATGCCTCGTTCAGCACAATAGTCCATGAACTCTGTGGTAATGTACTCCCCTCCGTTGTCCGATTTCAAACATTTCACCTTCAAACCAGTTTCAAGTTCAACGGCAGTTTTCCATTTCTTAATAACATCAAATAATTCGTATTTACTTTTAAGAAAATAAACCCATACCTTGCGTGAGGCATCATCTATTAAGGTCACATAGAATCTCGAGCCTCCCAAGGATTCAACCCGCGTTGGACCAAAAACATCTGAATGAATAAGCTCTAACTTCTGAGCTTTAGGTACTCTCCCCGTCTTCGCAAAAGATACCCTCTTTTTCTTTCCATAAACACAAGGTTCACAGAATTCAGATTCAACTTTCTTTAGGTCTGGAAGCTTTCCTTTGGCGACAAACATTTTCATCCCCTTTTCACTCATATGGCCGAGTCGTTGATGCCACAACTTGGAGAGACTCAGCCCACTAGCTACTGCATTTGCATCACCAGCAGTTGTCTCAGCCATGTACAAAGTACCCTGTTTCTTTCCCTTAACAATTACCATACTTCCCTTGACAACCTTCCATTGTCCTTCCCCGAAGTGAACATTATACCCCTGGTCGTCCAATTGCACAATGGAAATCAACATCTTTCTCAATTTGGGAATTACCCTGACATCTTTCAATGTCCAAATTGTTCCCAAGTTGGTTTTTAAGTCAATATCTCCCACCCCAGTAATATCCAGCGTTTGATTATTAGCTAGACTTACAGTACCAAAGTTGCCTTGTCTGAGATTCTTCATCTTTCTCGAACTAGAGATAGCATGAAACGACGCACCTGAGTCCATAATCCAGGACTCGACTGTGTCTCTACACAACAGATTAATACATCGTCAGAATCTGAGGTTGTGGCAGCATTCACCTCTTTCTTGTCGCTAGGTGGTTTGGTGCACTGATTTCTGAAGTATCTGTACTCATCACAGTTCCAACACTTGATGTCGCTTCTTGTCTTTGAACTCCCTCTCCTGCCTTTGGACTTAAATCTTCCCCTGTAACTGTTTCTCCTCTCTTTCTTTCTACCTCTTTCTCCTGATGTCTTCTCCTAAGATAAAATCACGGATTCCCTCAAACGTGAGTGTGGTATTTCCAGCTGAACCACTAATAGCCGTGACTGATCTTGACTAACTATCCGGTAAAGAAGATAAAAGAAGCAAAGCTTGTACCTCATCATCAAATTTGATATCAACTGATAGCAAACAAGATATAATGGTATTGAAAACATTGATATGAGTAGTAACAGAACCACCTTCTCGCATACGAGTGTTAACTAACTGTCTAATCAAGAATACCTTATTAGACGCGGAAGGTTTCTCATACATGTTTGACAACGTTGTCATAACCCCACGAGCAGTAGTCTCTTTCATGATGTTGAAAGCCACACTCTTTGTCAAAGTGCACCTGATGACAGCTAGGGCTTTTCTATCCAAGTCAGCCCATTCTTCATCCTTCATCTTCTCGTGTTTCTGACCTGTCAAACATGGAGGAAGATGTTTCTGACATAGCAAGTCCTCGACTTGCATCTTCCACCATCCAAAATCTTGCCCATCAAACTTCTCTATCCTGATCTTTCCGTCCTCAGACATCATCTCTCCTGAGTATCCAAAATCTGACCAGAGAACACGTGAGAACAGATTGAAACAAACAACCAGAACTGACCTCGAAAAATTGCAGCAGCAAACTGAAGAGCAAGGCTGTTCGGACTGCCAACAGATGACTATCTCGGTGGTCGTCTGATATGTCGGCAAAAACCCTAGAGTCGCTAGGGTTGGCAGTGGAGGCAGATCTGTGTGTACGACCTGTCTCTGATACCAGTTGTTGAGAACAAAAGCACACACACACAAGAATAGAAAGCAAGAAAGCAATAAAGAACACGAGATTTAACGTGGTTCTGTCTAATCTGACCTACATCCACAGGGGCAACTAGGGTTTGTATTATTGAGTGATAATGATTACAAGTACAGGAGATCATATATATAGACAACTAATTAGGGTTTAACCCTTGATGGACAAGTTATAGCAAACTGGGCTTAAAACCATTTGGGCCGGCCGAAACCCTAATCTGGTCTCCTAACTCTCAGTTGTCTACAAGTGGGCCACTTTGGGCCGATGACTACGCATCACCAACAGATGGAGCCATTCATAACGAGCCTTTGGCAGTAAAATCAACTTCTGGTGATTAAAGCGCTCTTGAATGCTATTCCACAATTCGAGGGGATCTTCAATGGTGAGATACTCCTTTTTCAGGTCTTCGTGGAGGTGATGACGGAGGAATATCATGGCCTTTGCCTTATCTTGAACAGAAGATTCATTTCCTTCAGAAATTGTCTCCTAGATTCTTTGCCGTGAGATGGATTTTGGCATCTAAGGTCCATGTGAGGAAGTTTTTTTCCAGATATGTCGAGTTCAAGAAAATCAAGTTTTGAAAGGTTGGACATTTTAACTACCAAAAAAATGTAGTAAGGTAAGTTAGTGTATATAAAAAAAATTACATTCTTGGAGAACTTCAGGTTCTAGTTTCTAAGAACTAATGGCTCATCATGTTTTTCTTTCGAAAAAGAAAAGGAGATATAACTTTCAATTTGGATTTATATGATAAATTTTAAGAGTAAAAAAAACTTTGAAACATCTCCAAAATAAAAAACCACCATATCTCATTAAAAAAAATACACCTTCACTAGTGTTATTAAAAAAATAGTGTTTGGGTGGTTGTTGCTTATAATACAACTAGCTTTGCACTCCACTGCATTTCTTTAAAAAGCAATTACACGCATTAGTCACAGCATGAAAAATATCACGGAGCAATAAAAGTTTTAATAACAATCGTATCATGAAAAAAATGGTAGTAATAGCATGACATGATGTTTCGGTCAAAATTGCAGAATAGAAGCAAAGACTATTTTAATCCTTATGTGGATAGAAGCAAAAACTGCAGAATAGAGAATTGCATAATAGAAGCATATTAGGATAACTATGTACAATTTCATGATAGGATAATCCATGATTGTAACCCTCTCTTTTCTTTCTTTTTTTTTTAACGCAGCATGTAACTAAAAAAAATTTCAAAACCCAACAAAAACAACAAAAAAACAGATCTAGAATGAACATATGGTCCTGTCCATAACCTGTCTTTAATCAAAGTTGCAATCAATTCATGAACAATATCTACCAGTGGCACGCTGGTCTAATTTCAGTTACTACACCCTAGTGTCAGGGGTTCGAATCCCATCTCCATTTTTTTATTTTATTTTAAAAAAAAATTAAAACAAATCCAATCATGTTTACCTTAAATCTGGTTTAGAAATCTGCTAATGATTTTTCAATATATGTATTTACAAATCTATTTATAAGATGATTGAAATTAAATTCTTTCCCATAAAAGAGTCAAGTAAAGAAATCCACATAACACTTTTCAATCCCAAACAAATCATAATCTAGATCAACAGAATATATTGTCATTCTTCAGGTTAATTGGAGGAATACCTGGATTTTGGGATAGAGAATTGGAGAAGAAGATCCGGAAGCTTTGCTCTGTTCCTTTTCCGGTCGAAGAAGATGAAGTTTGGGCAGAGGCGGCAAGGCTTCAATTTGGAGTCGATGATTGTGTCAAACCTTTGCTGACACTTTTTTGTTAACCTTAGGCGGCCACTAACAGCTTTGATTCACCGGCGGAGGTTTCGGCAAGAGAATAATTTGATGGCGGCCAGGCTTCAGCGATGCACAGGGGAGAGCCGTGAAAAGGAACGAGAGAGGCTGAAAAAAAAATTAGGGTTTGAGTCAAATACGGGGTATTTATACATACACGTGAGGAGGTATAGTCTAGGTCAATAAGGAAACAATATATTCTAAATAGAATGAGAAATATATCTGCCATATTTAACAATTTGTACCAAGTATAATGTACAATTTTAAGTAAAACTGATGAACTTACCCTAAAAAAAATATTAAGTATAAGTAAAAATATTTATTTCTAAAAAACAAAGAAAAATAATAATAAATATTATTTTTTAGACGAACAAAAAAATTACCTCGTCCGTTGATTATTTATATTTATAATTTTTATCAAAGTTGTTTATACCTCAATCTTTTTTTTAGGTTATACCAAACCAATTCAAGATGCATTCTCATATTTCACCCCATCAATGTGTACCCGATTACAATGTAATACTACGTATTTCTTTACATTTTTCTACACATTTTGCTTGAATTGTTTTTTATCGGATGTGTATTAATACCTATTAATGTTCACGAGGATAAAAAAATGAATGGAATAAAATAACTTGGGGTGCAGGATCTCCTATCCCAAATTGATTTTGTATGAGAAAATACTTATTTTCTATATAGAAAATGAAAAACAATGTAGTAAAAAATTGTTTTGTAATAAAATAAAAATTAAATATGGATTCTAGAGTAGACGAGGATGAGGAGTATTTTTTTTAGTAGTAATTGAAAATGAAGAGAGAGCTTCTACCTACTCTTTGGAGTCTGCCACCAATCTGTAATTAAAATCTAATTTACCTCTTCTTAGTGACCGTTCAACCAGATCTGGGCTTGTGAGAGGTTATGACATCAAATATGGAGTTCTTCTTGGGGTTGTGAATGCCACACAAATAAACCAACAATGGCACTGAGAAATACTACACTACAGGAGATGACAGGGTACACCAAGTGTACCCCTAATGTACATCACATGCTTTTTTACCATTCATTTTATTTTTATTTTTATTTTTTTATTTTTTTTATTTTTTTTTTTTGAATTTTACATTCTTTTTTGTGTAGTTATGGTGGGGATATTTGGGGTACACTAGACCTGTGCAAATAAGGGTCGGCCCGCCCAGCCCGCCCGTTAAAAAGGGTGGATATGGACAATCTTTAATGCACACATGTGCGGGCCGGCGCAAGCCCGAATTGTATTTGGGCGGATCTGGAAGTTACTTTTAGCCCATCCGGGCTAATAGGCCCGCCCATATTCATCACATACATTTACTTTATTATTTACCTAAACAATATAAATTTTAAAATTTTCTTTAATTCATGTATAATAGTTCAATTCATTCACCCCTCTTAAAAAATTAAGTCTTTTCATGAATCAGTATGATGAGTTTATTAATTATGTAACAATACCTCTATTATGTTTTCTATGTAAATCTGGTGAGTGGTGATTTTATTTTAAACATTAAAAAACAAGTTCAATATTTTCTTTATGAATTTTTTTGTGCAAAAAAGATTTTCTTGATGTTTTATCCGGGCCGGGCGGCCCGGTAGACAGTTCGGCCCGCTAAGGTGGGCGGGTATGGGTAAAGAGTTTAGCCCATCAAATTCGGGCCGGGCCAAGCCCGCCCATGCAAATGGGCTAATAATTAGTATCAAACCCGACTCAGATCCGGCCCGGATCTTTATTTGCACAGGTCTAGGGTACACTTTTGGTGTACTCCTAGTATTTTCCACTACACAAACATGCATCGATCTAAAGTGCTAAATCCTACACGTTTAATTCAAAGGGTAAAGTTGGTAATGCAGATCTTAACTGCCTAAATAATACTCCAAGGGATGATGAGAGAGTAGAAAATATGCAAAATGGAGGGGAAGGGGGGGGTTAAATAAATCTAACTTCCCATATTTAACCATTACAAAGATAGTCAAAATGAAGTTCTGAAGAAAAAAGGGGCAATGTCCTACAAACAGAAGACATGCCCAAAATACATATATATAGCTAGCTAGCTAGGAATCCAATCTGTGAAACATTTTTACTTCAAATGTAAAAATGCATAAGATAAACTTTAGACTGAAAAAACATATTTCACATGATTAATGATGAGTTAAGTACCAAACTCTTGCCGCCGCCACCATTGCTGAGTCAGAATCGTTCTTGCACTGCTACTGCATTTAACCTCTAGCTAGTGGTGCTAATCAGAGGAGTGTGTTTATTATTTTTTCTTGGTAACATTTACGGGCCTTGGTGACTTTTGGACCTTTGGCCTCTCAGTTGGTCAGCTGAGAAGCAACTTTCTTCCCTGTCCTTGTCAAAATCATGAAATTCTGGATCGGGATAAGTGTAAGTATCAACTCTATCCTCAATTATATGGACATCTGAACCAGATTCCGAATCAATTATTACTTCAACCTTTTTCGGACCATTTGGAATTGAACCAGCTTCATCATCAATCTGCATTGGGATTCCCATTGGGTAGGCAGGCCGCAGGCCCTCATCAGGAGTTACATTTTCTTGGGATTTTCCATCTGGAACAATGTTTGCTTGGTTCATATGTAAATCATCATCAACCTCATTTTCATAGTATGAGACATCATGCCTTCTGCGAGAAGATCTCCTCATATGTTTGCCTTTTGGAGATTGGATTGGGTGGTAAACTGAGGATTGAAACCGTTTAGACCAAAATTTGACCTTGCTGCAACTGGGTTGACCTGATGAGGTGGTGGTGGTTTTGCCGGAGGACCTCCTCTAAATGAAACTCTTTTAGAGTCATATGCGGATCTTTTTGTCTTGTGTGACAGCACCAGATTTGCCTCAAAGCAATAGTACGTATTCTAAAAATATAAAATAGGACCGGGCCAATTTTATTTTTTCATTTTTCGGGACCGGCCCTGCTACATTCACTTCATTTATTTGTAAGAAGACACCTTTGTCCTTAACAACACAAGAGATATTAGATGTTTGCTAATATTTAAGGATAAATTTGTCCATTTTACACAAGTAGAGTGAACTTAGCTATTGTGAGAGTGAATATTAGTGACATGGGGACGAGTGACGTAGAGTAAAAAATGCTTGTGCGGGATAGAGGGGGAGAACACGTAGGGATAGATGCATGACATTAATTGCAGAGTGACGGGGGATATCGAGTGGGGGATAAGGGGCTGGGGTGGGAGGTGGGTGTGGAGGGGGCTAACTCTCAAGTTTATAAAGCAAGGCATTTCTGTTTTTCATTTTCTTTGATGTTTAGCTGAGATTTTGTCCAAATTATTGTTAAAAAGTATTTTAGCGATGCATAAACTATTATTTTTGGGAGTTAAACGATATGTGGGAAATGCCTTGGCTTCTCGATAATGTGAATTAGTGGCTTGAAAAATCAGATACATCAACCACTTGTGCTCTTTTCGTATTTCTAGAAAAAATTACTTCGTATTTATTTACCATAAGGTGTAAATTTACTTATACTATCGATATAAAAAAATGTTTTCCTAAGTAGTGCATTTTAAGAGGTACACATCATTTAATATAAAATTTGAGAGTTTAATGTGTAGAAAATTGACATGTGGCACCTTAGGAGTTACTCCCTCCGTCCTATAATGATCTTCCCGGTTCGCAAAACGAAGAAAAATTTCAAGTTTTTTCAATCTATTTTATTTGAATATTAGTATAGAAATAAAAAATAAAACATACATATTTAAAAACTACACCAAAAGTTTAACAAAACAAGTGGTGACAAGAATATTTTATTTTATCATATAGGTCATGAAAAAACACAAATAAATATAAATTCCCGTGAAGTTGGAATAGTGCTCTGGGAAGATCATTATAGGACCGAGGAAGTATATTTTAATGACACCTCAGTTTCCACTCGTCTTCTCCTTATGGCTCTACGGCAGAAGACTTGCCCAGCAAATCAATTCCTTATTCTTCTTCGCATCTACAGGGCTAGATCTCTGCGGCATCCCCTTCATCCCTGATTCTTCTCCAAAAATATACTGATTTTTCGATTAATTTCTTCGCCTAAAGAAAGGAATCAATGGTCTCTGCTTCGCCAAAGGAAAGAGTCGAAGATTCTCCCGATCTCTCTGCAATTAGGTTTAACCAATCTTCTTCACATCCATGGCCATGGCTCTGCATCGTATCAACGATTCCGCCAATCTCTCTGCAACTCAATTCTTTAAAATCAGCACACACATTCTTTTCCTTCTATGGTCTTCTTCTCCTTCTGCGCACGTCAGGTTCTTTTCCTTAATTCCTTCTCCGATCAGGGCCATAGAGTTCAAAGTTATGAGTCTTTCAACTTTCATTTGACAATTCTTATTTGATTCATTTAATTTGCACGGTGGCAACCAGAATCTTATAACTCAATAACAAGAGTTCTTAATTTGCTAATTTTGAAAACTTGCGTAATTTAAGGAAAGTCGAAGTTTACATCATAGAAGAAATTGTGTAATTAAACTAGGAAATCCCTGCCAGTCATTTGGCGATTTGAAACTTTGAGAATTACCATTTACTCAAGAACAAGAGTTCTTAATTTTCTGATATGAAAACATCCGTGATTTTTTAAAAGGTAGAATATTACAATATATAGGAAATTGTGTGTGTAACTAGAGTAGGAAAGCCATCCAAATGATAACTAATTAACAAAAAGAGTAAATTCCATAATTGGTCCTTTATAACAGGGGGTTTCCATATTTAGTCCTTTATTATCAAATATTACCCTCGTAGTCCTTTTTTAAGGGTGTCTTTCCACAAATGGTCCTTTTTTTGATTTTCCGCCCTGTGGGTGTTAATTTAAAGGCTAAAAGTATAATTTGACTAGGATAACACAAAAATAATGACTATGATTGTGGGCTAGGATTCCGACGAAAGACTACATTTGTAGACTATGGTTGTAGTAGAAAGCGAATGTAATTCACAAACGACGCAAACGGAACAACTTTTGGAATTTTGTATGACAAAAAAGATATATATTATCATTGTGAAATTACACTTTTATCCCTCAAATTAACTCCAATCAGATAGAAGATCAAAAAAAGACTATTTGTGGAAAGATACCTATAAAAGAAGGATCACTGCGGTAATATTTGATAATAGAGGACTAAATAGGGAAACCCCCCTGTTATAAAGGATCAATTATAGAATTTACTCTAACAAAAAATATAGGATTCTATATTTTCTTTTATTATTTGTTTTGTTTTATGCTAGAATCTGTGTCCAAAAAATAAAGAAAAAATCATGAGTTAATAGGGTTTTAGTGTCATTTGATCCTACCAAATCTGAATTTTTAATATTCATTAGACTAATTTTTTTTTAGCTCAGACGAACTTTTGGGTGAATGTGAAGTATTCTGCTTGCTATTAACTAAGGCTAGACTATGTTACTAATCTTTAACAGTTCATTTCGCAGTTGCTTTGTGCTCTTGATTCAACACGCATATGCATCATGTGGGTAGAAGTTTAGAGGGTGAAACCCTTCTTGGCTTCCATTTTTAATTAAAACGGAATGAACAGACACATTCGGTATGGGCAAAGAGAGTATTATTGATTTTGTTTTATATGGAGTATTTTATTTATTTATGTTTGTATCAAATCTCTGATTGGTTGGATTATATGGCAACTCTACAATTATTTTAGACTGATGGCTTTCTACAATAATCAGAAGACATCTTCTTATTTCCAACAGCAGTATGAAAAAATCCCGCCAAAATGTTGCAGCAACCGTTCACGCACGATCTTGAATGCACAATCTCTAGACACTACAATCTCGCTACCAAGTCTCTTTATCTGTTTCTGTCAAATCGGAGAGCCACGTTATCAGCCATGCGACATAGCCTTCTTTTGATCTTTTGCAGAGAACTACAGACTAGACGCGTCAGTGTGCAGGGATTCACGAACAGGGGTAGCACCCTTTTCTTTTTCAATTGAAATTTATTTATATGTATGATAAGACCTTTCATTCTCTGCCTCTTTTCTTTGATGTAGTGATAATGTCTCTCCTTTCGAGACTTGCAATAGGTCAACAACATCACACCTCAACAACGACACCGCCATTTTAAAGTGGTATTTTTCTTCATTTGAATTCATTTTTTAATTTCAACTTCTCAAAAAACAAATGAATTAAAAGTCACTTTTCCAAATTTAATTCTACTGCTTTGTGATGTTTGAATATGCTCTGTATACATAAATTGATAATCTTCAAGTTGAAGTTTAGATTTTAGGTACAAATATATATAATTTTCATTGTATACATGTGATCTTTAAAGATATTGGATCCTAAAGTTTGACAATATTAGAACACATAAGTCTTAAAGTTCTTATAACTATTTAGTTTAAAGTTGCTATAAAAAGGCATGTGGTCCTTATGTTCTAAATCTATGATTTAATAGGCCAAAAGAAATTTTTCCAATTCAAAATAGTAAAATGATACTTTTGAAAAATATAATTTGTAATTTTTTGCAAATTGATGAAGCAATTATGGGGGTGACAAGAAAAAAGAGGGAAATAGGCAATCATTAGAACAACAAACAGGCATCCTCAAGTTTTGTAGAAAGGTTTACTGATCAATATTTTATGAAAAAGAATGATAACATGCTATATTGGATCCATACATAAAGAAAAAGCACAGGTATATGGGTATCTCACCGGTCACTTAGAAGGTATATGTTTCAAATGGTAATTCTACCACCATTAGTGACAAAGGGATATCTAGGTGTCACGATTTGAACAATTCTAAGAATATTTAATTTGTTGAGTCATATTAATTATGTTTCAATAGGTTCTTCTGGTGTTATTTGGTGTTATTTAACTGATAAATTGCTAAACATTACCTCGAGTGAGAAACATATTGAAAGTCAATTCTTTTTCTACCTTGGATTCCGAACAAATTACAAAAAAATTTACAAGTTTTACAATCTTATAATGTGTTTACCTCTTCGATTATGTTGTTTGTTTAACATGTTTGATTAATTAAAAATTTTCCATTTTAATTAACATGCTTGATTCTTTTTCGTCCGAACCCCATGTGGCGAAGTTGAACACATGTTCTAAGGAATATGATGCCAATAGATGGATGGGTTGTACTCCATATAGGGGTGTTCATCGGGTCAAACCCGGACTGGACCGGCCCGGACCAGGACCGAATAAGGGGCATTTGGTGGACCGAAGACCGGACCGATTAAGCTAAGGACCGGCTCGGGACCGGACCGGTAAAACCCGGACCGGACCGGGACCGGACCGAATAAATGTTACTTTTAATTTTTTTTTAATTTTATTTTATTTTTTTAATTTAAAGTATTCAATTGAATAAAAATATTACTACAACTAATTTTTAATTGTAACATACACTAAACATTATCAAACACAATTGTTTTGAATTTGTTTTAAAAAATTTAAATAAAATATATTACATTTATCTTCCATCCGTATAACATAAAATTTGTTCATAATTTTTATTTTGCATAGGGAATATTCTTCTTCTTAGTGCATTTTTGTTTTTTTGTAATATTTTTTTGAGTTTTCGATTTTTTTTACAAAGAGATACACTTTTTACTATTTTTGTTCATAAGATTGTTTACAATATTTGTTCTGCGGATTAGAATTTTATTATTGATAAAGTACAAATTTAGGTTATAGTATTAGTACATAAATTTAAAATGCATTAGATCGCTAATATAAAGGTAATCTTTATTTTTTCACACTTTTCATATTAAAAAAAATTAAAAATCATTACAATTGGTATCTTATTTTGAATTGAAATGTATTTAAAAAATTATATTAAATAATAAAATCAAAACATTTAAAAAAATTTAGCATTAAAGTTGAACTAATTTTAAGTATAAGAAAAAACCTTAAAAAATACAATATTATAAACTTATATAGAAAAAAATATTTTAAAAAAATAAAATCTAACCGGTCTACCGGTCCGGAACCCGAATAAGGAAAAAATGAGGACCGGAGACCGGACCGAATAAGGACCGGTCCGGTCCAGTTTTGGCCGGGTTTCGGGTCGGTTCGGGTCCGGACCGAATAATGCACACCCCTAACTCCATACTATTTTTTGAGCTATATGTGGTTGTGCTATTGCCAAGTGTTGGAATTTCCACATCGGAAAATAAAGATGAGTATCACTAGCATATATTGAACGGTGAAACTCTACCTATCAGCTTAAGCTTTTGGGTTAGAATTGTGGATCCCGACTTTATGTGCAAGTGGTTAATTTTACCCGACACTCTATTCGTTGTTTTTGGCCCACCAAAATTTTAATACCAAGCTCGACGGTTGGACTCCCAAGCGTGGGGGTTGCCATAAGAAGTGAGTTATCAGTTAACATTCACACTTTTGTCACTACTGTAATGAAATTTGTATAATCAAGTACTTATAGATACAAGTGTGACTAAAAAACTGAAAATTAAGTTATCATTTAGGCTTAACCGGTGAAAAGTTCCATTTTCCATTGGATATTAATACAATCTCACTGTTAGGCATTATGATTTTTTGAATCCATAATTTAATTCCTGCATCTCGAATTCTTGAGGATCATATGTTTCATACAGATTACTAAATTTGAAGCACAAATAAATACTTATGAAGTTTTGATGCTTCTTTTTTGATGGGTTGATGAATATATTTCTCTATTCAAATTTAACTATAAACTTTAGAAGTCAATTTTCTGAGAGTGTGACCTAAAAATATGCCTACTTCACTAAACTAGCTGAAACATTTAAGATGTTTATCAGTTTACTTAGTTCTTCCAGTTCATATGCAAATGATACCTGTTTCTAGATCCAAACGCATCATTTTGTGATGTTCATATGCACTTGAGTTTTTCATTGTTGCAAATAAAACATATGGATTGTATAATATGGTTGAATGTTGACCATTACCTCAATCAGTTGTTGTGATTCCAGTTTCAGCCCGCTTTACCCCATGTTGTGATATAACAGAAGATGGATCAAAATTCCATCGCTCTCAAATGGGTCTAAAATGTATCATAATAAATTAAAGGGTATATAATCTCACATGAACATGTGCTTTTACGAAAATTTCTTAGTATTTTATATTTTCTCATTATTTTTTCCTCCATGCCAACCATTTCGTCTTTAATTCTAGATTTTTTTCACTTTAATACATCAATATTGCTTTAACAGTTAACCCCCTGTTAACATAAACATAATGATAAACATTATAGATCAATATTTAATAAAATTAATATTTTGTTGCAGGACTTGATTGGGGATTTTATCGATGCTAAAGACAAACAAATGACATGACTTCGAGATAGTATATCAAGATTCACACCAATGAAGAAGAACCTGATCTTATAGATTGAGACAAGTCAGTCACCAAGTTGAAGAGTGACAAGGTTGAAGAAAAATAATATTATACTTGATTTATTGATGAGTTTTATTTTATGGTTTGACTTGCATGATATGGTTAGCATTCACCATGTAAGAGTACGTAGTAGATGATTTTATGGTTTAGTCTACAAATACTTTATTTTGTTTAGCCTAAAACCTTAAACACATGTCTTGGTTCAAATGTGTTGGTCAATGGTAAATTTAAAATTCAATAAATTTCAATAAATTGATCTTTTGTCATATATTGCATTCTAGCGCTGTCATTTTATATCATATAGCTTTTGTTTATAAATTTTTTGTGATGGGTTATATCTACTATACATATAGAAAATAATATAGAGAATGTGAATAAGTAACAAAAAATGTAGTATAGAAATAATGTTTGTGGGCACAAACATTTATCTGATCCTCATAGTATAAAAATTATAGATTTACTTCAAGGGAAGGAAATTGCAGTCTATTTCTAAGCAAATTTATACTACTATGTTAACGAAGGATGTAAGTGTTTTTAAACAAATAAATTTTTATCAATACCCAATGTAATTTTCCTTTAATATTTCATCAAATTTTGTCCATTTTGACTATACAAATATAAGCTGGACGAATAATTTAGGACAAATGTAATAAGTAAATTTTATTAAAATGAGGATTGAAAAAAATCTTATAAAAAATGTTCTAACATACCAAAGTCATGGTAAGCTTTGTGTTGCTGTTTCACGAGTGAACACTAAGACATCATTAAAAATATTATTTCTATATGACAATATAATCCCTTATAACCATAACCAACATGTTGTATATACTGAAGTCTTTAAAAAATTTACAAATAAAAAATATGTAGTCAAGTATACTTTCAATTCCTCAAATATTATATTTTTGTGTTGGTGTCTATTGTATTAAATTTTAAAAATTTTAAACATATTGCATACACTGATGTCTTTAAAACCTTTTTTTATTCTAGACAAAACATTTCATTGAAAAAAATCAGAACTGACAAAAAATTCGTTTGTCCCAATACTAGTATGCTCTCATAGTCTCATGCAATAAAATAAAAATAATTATTTGTCTAGATATACATGAATAATCATTGTCACATAAAAAATTAAAAAGAAAAATGCTAGGGGTACACCAAAGGTGTACTTCAAATATCCCCCACCCCCTCCTTGTCCACTAAAAAAGGCAAAAAAATTCAAAAAAAAATAAATAAATAAAAATCAAATAAAAATGTGTGGAGGAAAAGAGGGTGGTGTATATTTAGGGTACACCTTTTGGTGTACCCCTAGCATTACTCAATTAAAAATAAGAAAACCCCCTAAATAGGAGTAAAACATATATCATATCCTCAAAATAGGAGTTCAAACTTAAACTCCTCTAAATAGGAGTAATTAATTAAAATTTTGTTTTGATATATTCTTTCGCACTAACCACACCACATCCTAGCCCTATGCGGTCGAAAAAGTCACTCGGCCCCTTCCCAATCTCATCCTTCTACGATCTCTCTCAGTTTAATCTCAGTTGCTGATGTTGTCAACTTAATCTCAATCTCTTCTCCACCGGTATCATCTTCTCTATGCGGTAATGATTCCACCGCACTTTCCATCATTTCCTTTTCTCTCATACACACAATCTTCTTCCATCCCTCTCCATCATTTCTATTTTTCATCGCTCGGATGCCTCCGTCACCTTAGGTAAGTTTGAATTCAATTTGATATTTAACTTGACATAAGTAGTTAAATTCAATTTTAAATCTAAAAATTTACGTTTTCGGGAATTATTTTGTAAAATTTGTATTAATTCTTTTATCCTTGCGTGAGTTTGAAACTTTTAATCAATTTTATATTCAATTTCACATAGGTTGTGACATTTGGTTTTAAATCTAATTTTACTTCTTAGAAAATTATTTTGTAAAACAAATATTGAAACTAAATGATTGTTGTGTTGGCAAATAGAGTTTTCTTGATGTTTAACTTTTTTGAGATTATGCATTAACATATGTGTTATATGTAAAATTATAAATTGGCATATCTGTCATTATACATTGCCAAATGTGCCACTATATATTGTCATATTTGGCATTATCTCTTGTTTTAGTATGCATTTTCATGTATGACTTTATACAATGACATGATTGTCATTATGCGGCTATGTGTGGCGTTAAATGTAGTCTTGTTTGACACTGTATATACATTTTACTGTAATAATTTACTAAGTTTTTATTTATTGCTTAAGAATTTTGATATATATCTACAAGGTATTAATCAAGTCTCATAGATTTATTGATTAAAAATTTTGGCATTAAATGTGGTCTTGTTTGACATTTTATGGGCTTGAGGCAACACTTAAAGGTCATGTTTATCAAGTTTTTTTTCTATTCCTAAGAATGTCAAATCATCAAATCAGAATATTTGAGTTGTGAATTAGGATACACATATAAATATTCAGGAGCAAGGTAGTAATAACCATATTTGTTTATGGTACTGAGCTTTGGGTGTGATTTTGTTGTCGTCCCTTGACGATGTAGTTAAAAGAATCATTTATTGACAATATTTTAACTTTGGGTAAAAAAAATTAGCCGGCTTAGTAGTTAGCTGTTATTTTGATAAAAAAATAAATATAATGTCCTATTTTATTTTCTGACTCAAAAACATAAACTTTTTGTAAAGCCAACCTTTTAATTCAAAAAATAGGTAATTGGGTTGATCTCGTAAAAAGGTGACTAATAGCATAAAGTTTGTTAAGTTTAAAATTTGGTGTAAAAAGTTATGTGTAAAATAGATGTTATAATTTAATAAATAAATATAAATATTTTATAATATAATAATAATAATAAATAATCAGTGTCCTAATCTATTCTAATTCCTACCCCCTTTTAATCAGTGTCCTAATGGCCTAATGCCCAGCCCCTTTTAAGTGTGTAACTACACACGCATGCAAGCAAAAAAAACAACGAAGAGGAGAGAGCCTGAAAAGAGAGAATTAAGGACAAAAATTAATTAATTACTCCTATTTAGAGGAATTTAAGTTTTAGCTTCTATTTAAGAATATTGCATAACTTTTACCCCTAATTTGGTCCTTTTCCCGTTAAAAATCTACATGATTTGTACAAAAAAATTTGGAGTCTTAGTTTTATTGAATAAGAAATGGTTGGTATTTGGTAGTGCCAAACCCCCGATTTCTTCTCTGTATCGACTTGCTTCACCGACCTGGTGCTGAATCCCGCGCAGTTCTGCTTTCAAAGTTTTAAACAACGGCCCAACCTTCTTCTTCGTCGGCTCGCCAATCAGTTACCGCTCCCACCGATTACGCCATTATCGCCGGTGATTGAACTCCGCACGATGCCGGAGCATCCGACGCCGGATGGATCCGACCCGCTCGATGCCTTCACAGGGCTTTTTCTTCAACCCCGAGCAATTAGGTCTCCGCTTCAAGCTTCGATGGCTTATCAACCGAGCGATCTTCATTCAGTTCACCAAGCTATGAAGGATGCGGTACTCATATCTCGACTGAATTTCTATATTCTACTGTAATTTCTAGTAGTAGTAGTAGTAGCTCTAGTGTTCGTTATTCATTTCTCTGTTTAGTTTTAGATGAGCATTTGGGGGAACTTATGCCCACTGAATAAGATCTTGTAGAGGTGGTGAATTGTAGGCATTTTCATTCCATATTATAAATTTGAAGTGCGACATAATAACAGCAACTTATAATGCCTGTTTGGTCCTCAATTTCATAAAGGGGCTGATGAATGCTGAAACGCTCATAGAAGAGTCGAAGGCAATAGTTGCTAGTGGTTCTGAGCAGCTTTTGAATGCTAATTTTCTAAGCTTCAAGTCACTTCTGAGATTGGATGATCATGTTGGCTCGGAGGGAGAAAAAGATAAGGTTGGGGAGCTAAGGACAGGTCTTGGTCGAAAAAAACCACAATTTTCCATGAAGCCATATGCAAGGTTGAACTTTGACCCGTTTTTTTCTTTTGGCAACATTGATTTTTTTCTTCAAAAACCTCGGCAGCGAGTAGATTTATAAGTTACAATGTGTATTGCAGTCAGCCTACCGTTATTACATTGGGGTCGAGCGTGGATGTTGAACAAATTACAAACCCTGAAGAATATTTTATTGCTTCCATGAAGTTAGAAAGTAAATACTAATCTCTACTCATCCTCTTATGCATTATGCTGCCACTTTTCTGTTTTATTCTTCAAATACAAATAACATGACACAATTGCATCATGCTAATTGCTACCACTATTTTGCTTTTTTTCTTTGCATCAACTACTGTGACTTTGTCTTATATGCCCACCACTATTGATGTCTAGATGCTCAGCAAGAAATAAAAAAGCAGTTGGGTATTGTAGATGATGACTCCAACATTAACAGCCTGCCTGCAAACACAAGGCGTTCTCAGCAGCCACTCCGTTCGGGGTATGTTAAAGATTTTCGATAGATGTCATCCATAAATGTTTGTTTTTGTAGGTTGTATTTATGCTTTTCATTGCAAATGCCATATTTGTTATTTCATTGCAGAAGAACAGGAAAATTTAAACATCTCTACCCTTTGCCATCTGCTTACAATGACGTAGTCATCTCCTCACAAGAAAGATGTGAGGTGGATGATTTTTGTGCACCGAAATCTAATTCACAGCAAAAAAGGAACAGTCAGGATGCTGAGCTTCAGGAACCAGAACTTGTTGGTAAGCACATGTTGTTGAAGCAAGAGAAGTTATACTTTCAATTGTGAAATGATTTCATTGCATCCTCTCTTATTGTTGTTGAGATAATATCCCCATTTGCTTTACTCAAGTTCGCGTTAGCAGTGTTCGGAAATGGCTTTGCTTTTTGATTTTGTATTTGTATTTGTATTTGTGGGTTTTCATTGATGCAATTACATCTCTTTTCCACAGGCTTAATTACTGAACAGGAAAACAGGGTTAATCTTGCTTTGGATAAACTACTGTCTCATGATTT